CCAGGTGGACGTTTGGGCTCCTATCACTCCAGAACTCTTCTGTTTATCTTTTGCAGTGAATAGTTTTATGTAATGTAGCTTCTGACATTATATCATAACCACTCAGTATGTGGTTTTTTTCTGCTTTTGAAATGTCCAGTCATAGACAAAGCCAGAGAATAAATTAGGGACCTGAGACAACTCGGATTCTGGTTAGACTTTTCAAAAAGCCAGATGGTACCAGATTTTTAAGTGCCAATTAAGCCTGTTTCTACAAACTCTCTCCCATCCCAATCTAATAGAAATCATCCAATCGCATGTCAACCAATTGTTTAGGCAGCTGGGCCAGATTTGTACAAAAGGGATAGGCTTTGGAAATGCAGCCCTGCTCTGGGGTGATTTCATGCTCCATGTAGACATCCTTCAGCTTAGGAACTGGAATCCCAACCATCAATCAGTTAGCGTCATCAAATAGGGGAGGCCAAAAGTCCAGTACCAGCAACTGGTCTGCCTAGGAACATCAAGATCTGAGAGGGGGATCGTTCTGCTTGCTAGCATTGAATTATGACTTTGTAATTCAGAGATACTGGAAGCAGATATGAATAAGCCAACTCTCAGGACCAGCTGTCAAGTACTTGGCTTGTAATCTGCTGTCATCCCATCCCAAGTGCTTCCAGTCTGACAGCTCACCAGCTAGTTAAATATTTGTTGCTTCCACTGTTCTGACTCATATCCTGGCGGTCTATCTGAGGATCTTGGACTATGAAAAGGCACCACAGCTTGACTGTTTGCTAGCTAGTAACATCCCAGTGGTTTGAATTTAATGACTTAGCTGCTCTAGTGCCTCCTAAAGCACAAAGGATGCCAAACCCCTCTGCTTGTGAGATGGAACACAATCTATAACCGTTCTGTAAAGAGATGGCATTTGTAATGAGGCGTTCTTGCTGCCAGCCTCCAGAAGTCCATGTTCTGCAACCACTCACTAGAACCTATCAAGAGCTCTCACTGACATCCTTGAATATTATTTAGTTAATGGTTTATTTAGAGGAAAGGGCACCATCTTTATGGGAAGGAGGATGAGTATTTGGAACATCAAGACAGCTGGCAATAGGTGCACTACCCTGAGAGGATGAAGAACTAGGAAAGAGAAAAGGGAGACAGTCACAGCAGTTAGAAGTGTGAGATTAAAGTGAAATGCAAGAAAAGGAATGGTTAACAAAAGCATTCATATTTATGTAATGCAGCACAGGTTCTGGTCCCTTTCTCAGGACCTATTTCTGTGGCAGTGATTCAGCAGGCAGCCACAGTTTGGGAGCATCCAGTTTCCTCTGATATTTCATTCTGTTTTCACTGAGCAGTGTTCTGAGATGAACTGAGTTTCCTTAATAGATTTTTCCACTGAGAAGTGTAATGGCCAGCTATCGTCATTTTAGTTCTCTTTAGTTTACTTACTCTTCTCAATGTAAACTGGCTTGATCTCTGTTTCTTCTCTGGGCAGTTTAGTTAACAGAATAAGGTTTTCCTGAACCAAACCAAGTATTTAGCCCTGCAACGCTAAATTTCTGAACCTTCAAAACTCTACGGTCTTGATTTCCCAAAAAACATCTTACAAACATCCACCACTGTATCTTCTCCTTAAGCCTTTTAGTTCCAACAATATTGATTCTTTCTTCACCCTAACTCAAATTCTGGCAGGAAAGGTGGTGTGAACAGGAACTCAAAGCTTCAGGGAGTGGAAACTGACTCTTTCTGCCCTCCTAAGCAGCCTCGTCCCCCTCCAACCGGGGGCTGTGAACACTAAGGCATAGCCTAGCTTGTGACCAATATCCCTTCCCTCTACCGTTCACCACGCAGACACCTCAGCTATATCTGTATACTTCCCTGCCCTCAACTTCACAGTCTAGAAAACACCAGTAAACCCTTCTTTGTGCTACCAAGCCACTTCAGCAGTTATCTTGTGGCATCCCCTCATTTGAATATGAGAAAATTAAATCTAAAGACATGGAGTAACTCCGTCAGTGTCAGGCAAGTTGGAAGCATAGCAAGAACTAGAGCCCAGGTCCTGTGACTCCAAGCACGGTTTTCTGCTGCATTGCCTTGCCTCGCGGCCTTGCTCTGGTATTTGTATCCACTGACCTTGACAGCACCGAGGTGACTATGTGGAGGCAACAGAGGGGAAGTGAAAGATCAAATGCAGAAAACAAAAGACAGGCTGGTAACAAGCACTGAAATTATAGGGACGAAATAAGCAAAGAAGGCACGCTGACTCCAGTTTAAGTTCACGCAGCTTCTGGAAAAATCTGCTCTGATGATTATAGTGACCACTTCATGTCTAGTTGATTCATAAATAGAAATTAATCCTTTTCTTTCCTCCACAGTATACCTCATTTAAGAGTGTGTCTATAAGCAGTAAGATAATTTTGTAGGTGAAGCTAGACCAGGTTTGAGGATAAATGAGAGAGAAGGCAGTGGAACTTGCCTAGTCCTTCCGGACTTGTCTTTCATGAGAACCCAATTCTCACGTGATTGCTAGTGTTTTACAGTTAAAAGTCAGACAACGAAAAAATGAGAAGAGAGAAGAGATTTTCTGCTGAGATCTAAAAGAAATTATTTTTTAAAAAGGCATGCAGGGTAGTGCCTGTGGTTCAAAGGAGTAGAGCGCTGGCCCCATATGCCAGAGCTGGCG